GCAACGGTTGGCATCCCTCAGTGTCGCCCCCGTACCGGACCGGGGACCGGCAACGGGATCGCAACCCTTGGCGTTGCCCCCGCGCCTCGCTCAGCCAGTGAGCGGGAACCGGTCTGTATGTGGGATCCGAACCCTCGGCGGGAGCGCCTCCGCGCTTCCCAAGCGGCGCACTAGCGCAGTGCGCCACCGGGCCGGCCCATTGAATCATCTTCTTATCCACTGTACAGTATGGACTACATACCAAGGGCTGGGACTACGGTGAAATAAGTGAGACACCTGTCTTGGGTGTAAAACTTAAGAAAGCACCAAAAAAGCCTCAGTGATCAAATAAATATTTTAATGTAATATTTAAAAAAATTAGATTTAATGCAAAAATTCCATGATGAACAAAATATCAAAATTTTAAATAAAGACAGGATACAGAATCACTGATTTCTCCTTTTGTCTTAGGCTCCTATATGGCGTGGCATTACTAGTCCTGTCTTTGTTTAACATTTTGTGCCTGAAGCAAGGGCCTAACACACCTCATTCACCTCACCCTTGTCTGGGTCCTACTATATACCAAAATAAAGCCCAAACCAAATTTTTCCTTTGTGTTAAATCTTGAGCTTTACTCCATAATTGGCTAATTTGATCACAGTAGTAATTATCTAAACTGCTGATACCATTTTTCTGAAACATACAACTGGCAAAAGCATTCTATATTGAATGAATACTACTGAATATAATAAATATTGAATATTCAAAGCATTCATATTTTAGAATGAAAAGAGAAACCCATTTTTGGCAAAAGAAAATTCTATGCTCAGCCTTAGTCTGCTGCACTAACCTTACCACATTGACTAATCGCATATACATGTAACAAATGTTTACTGAGTACCTCCTATGTCCGTCTAAATTTGGTGCTCCAACAATAATGAAATGATTAAATGGAACTTTTATAAAGGAAAAGGAAGATCAGAACAAAACTTTCTGGTACATATCTACTCATGGGGTACTTATGGGGTACATTTTCTCATTTAATCCTCACATTATCTCTATTTTGTAGATGGGAAGGCTGAGGCTCAGAAAGTTTGGGTAACTTGTCCATGATCATCCAGCTAGAAAGTGGCAGAACTAGGTCCAAACCTAGATCTACCTAACTAAAAAAAGCCACTTGCTGTTATACTAAGGCAATTCAAATTTCTACAAAGACTCCAAAACAATCTAGAAAACATTTATGATAACTGGGAAAGTGAGAACATAAAACTGCTTACTAGATTAAAACTACATAAAAATAACTTGTCCATGATCATCCAGCTAGAAAGTGGCAGAACTAGGTCCAAACCTAGATCTACTATTTGCATGTGAACAAAGAATAAGAGGAAATCACTGGATAATTGCAGTTGTTAGCAACATTCTTTAAAATTTATATAATAAAATAAAAGGTATAGAAAGAAATCAGTTTAAGTTGAATAAAACAAATCTAAGTGCCAAATTTGTATTTTTCACATGTAAAAATGAACAGGAAAGAGTTCAGTATATGGTATGCTTAATTCAGAAGTTGAAGACTTTTAACAAAAGCTTTAATTAGGATTAATCTGAGCTTACACATCCTATGAGGTCAACTGTTTGGTTACCATCAATATTCCAAACAACCAAATGCTATCATTAAACATGACCTATCCAAATGTATAATTGGAACTAAAACTTAAACTCTATACATATAACTTAACAAAAGGCCATAGCATGGTCACTGAAAAAACCATTACATAGTTATTGTATTTTTTAATCATATTCAGTGATCATGTACTTTATCTTTTATGTTTATGGCTTTTCAACTTATATTTATGGTTTTCAACTTATTTCCCTAACTCACATTTACTAATACAAAAACTAGGTTGATAGGGATATGAATTCCAATAGTTTTTTAAAAGTGTTAGGTCTGATCAGTGAAAAAAATATATAAATATATCCAGGAGAGAGTTATCTAAATTCTACAGCAGAGAGAACAGTAATTTTATTAAACATTGGACTTAGTCACAATATTTAGTTACTTGGTCTGAGGAGCACTGAGTTCAACTTTTTTTAAATGCAAGAATATTAAAAATTGCAAACTAGCAATAATCTTAGATAAGGTATAAGTGTTAAGCACCTCTATTTCTCCAATTTCTAAGATAGGTGGTGCCTAATAACTACTCGAGTTTTGTCAAATGACAACTGATAATAGAATGTATTTGTACCTTTAAGAAACAAGCAACATTGTAAAGGAAATTAGTACTTACTTGATAATCATTTCTCTTAATATTTGGAACATCCATGTTGTGAGTAGAAGGGCAGATATCTTCATACTTTTTGCCAGTGAAAATATCAATTCCAACAAGGTGAACCTAACAGAGGAGAACAGGAAACCTGTTTAATCTTTGCCAAGTACATCACTCATTACATACACAAGAGCACAATACCAATGCTGATTATGGCAGATTCTTTCTCCTTCTTCCAAGGTCATTTAATTCTACTGTCTTAAAAAAAAATGCAGTGGTCACAGAATTGAGACGGGTAAACAACTAAACAGTATCATGACATGTCAAGACCGAATATAATATATGGTCCAGTAATTCAATTACCAGAATACATAAGAAAAATGAAGTTAGGTTTCTCAGAACTGTTAGAATAGATTTTCTCATCTGCAAACTGAATAGATCTTCTAGGTCACTAGGATTCAGGAAAGTTTCAGTTCTCACTTAATGAAACATTATAATAGGGCTCAAGAAGGGAATGCTACTTAAGCATTCAAAGTAATAGCTGATCACCCAGTAATTGTGAGAAGAAAAAAAATGTGCTTATTACAAAACTTTTAAGTATAGGAACCTCATGATCTGTGATGGAATACAAACGATCAAAATCCCAACGCTGAAGCAAAGACTGACCTGAAAGGCACTTACCTTGGCATGCCCGTGCTTTCCAGTTTTGGAAGTTGACATCTCTACTATTTTACATGGTCGTCCTTTGAGCACCACGAAGCCGTTTTTGCGCAGGGCCGAGCACTGCATAGGGTAAGTGCTGGAAGCCCCAGCATCTCCAGTAGTGAAGTCGATTTCGTCAGCCATGGTGGGCGAGGGAGAGGGTTTCCGAGGGAACTACGCACAAAGTTTGTATGCTTTTTAATAACGGGCATACAAGCAGGGAAACGTCTCATTTCGGACAGATTACGTGCCAAGCATCTTGGATCTGTTATTTTTGCATTTATAAAATACCCAACCAAGATTAGTAGGCACTTTCTGACTCATGCCTCTACAAACTTTTCCAGCCATTGGTGGGGAGGTGGGGAGTGAAGTCACAGAGGAGCTCGCTGGGGCTGGGGGACACATGCCTTGGGCGCTCACCCACTCTGAAGGCAGCAAGTCATGGCCCCCACTGCCCCGCCGCAGAAGAAGCGGGCGACCTTTCCGCGCCGCGCGGCCCTCCGCCACCGCCCGGATCCCCACTGCAGGAAGCCCAGCCCAGGCCGCACATCCCCGCGAAGGATGGGGGATACGGGACCTAGCCAGCAGCACCTGTCCCTCGGGCAGCGGGCGCTCACCCCGCCCTCCGCCCCGCAGCGCCATCGTCCCGGGGGCATAGGCGCCCCCTGCCCTGCCCGCCTCCCCGGCCCGGCCCTGCCAGGGCCTGAGCCCCAGCGGGTCCCGTGTTCGCCTCCGTTCACCCATCCATCCTTCCTCCTTTCCTCGGTCAGGGCTCAGCTCTGGCCGCTTTCCCCGGCCCTGCCTCGCCCGGATCCCAGCCCCGCCAGCTTTCCCCCAGGTGTTCACCTTTCAGCAGGGAAAGGGCGCCTTTCGCCTGCGTACCCGCGCAGTCCCCTACAGCTGCGGCGGCGGCGGTGGCGGCCGCGGCAGC